TTTTTTTTATGGTAGAAATCAAGAAACGAAATCTGGAGCATTAATTCCACGGAATAAGTTAAGATAATAAAGCAATATAATCAAAGATCCTGTAAAATGTGAAATAACAATTCAACAAAGCAACCACTGTTGCGAATGTTTGAAAAATCGCTAAAATGGCAATGATACTGCCATGTTTGGAATGCCTGGGAGAACAAAACGTCTAGTGTTTCCAGACATTCAGACAATTTTCATCTACGACAGCAACATAAACGAGCAATCGTCAAAATACTTGGGCTCCAAAGAATGTATCTAGGCTGGCAAGATAAAGAATGACCACCAGAATGCTTAGTCTTCAAAAACAAACCTCACCAACAATAAATTTATCCATTTTTATAACCAAAAGAATAAACCATGAAAAATCTCTAACACATCCTTCATATGGTTCATTCTAATATCACCCAAAAAACGAGTTAATTGTTAGAAATAGTCAAAGGATTCAACCGAAAGGTATAACACCTGTCTCATAGGAAAACAAAACTTCTTACTTATGAACTGCACTTAGAAATAAAGCTTGGTGATGTCATACTCAACTAAGTGATCAGAATACCAATTTCTTATCTGACATTGTGCTACTAAGTAGTAATATTTTCTCCTAAGAAATCCAAATTCATAGCAGGAGGGAGGAACTAATACTTCAATGCCGTCAGATCAGAATGAAAAGAATCATACTAATAAGCAAAGTTCATTAAATAATCCTCATTCTGCACAGACGTTTGAGATTATAAATAGTAACACTCCCATACCTCTTCATCTTCCGTTTTTTTCTCAGTTGAAGACTCCATCCGCTTGGTCTGAAAGAAAATAGTTTCAAATGGTTCATAACATAGATTCAACTGTTCTTATGTACCACATAAATAAAGTTTTAAAAAAAACAAAACTTGGATCGATGAGATGGAGTCAGACTTCAGGCTGGAGTTAGAGAAGTCCAAAACTGCAGTATCATTGTAAAATCTAAAACTAAATACTGGATAGATTTTAATAAGTTAAAAATATGCACAAAATGGGTCCAAATTCTAAAAAATTCTTCACTGTAGTGCCCTAATTTCCTACAAAATATCAAATTGCAGAGAGAGACAGAGAGAGAGAACCTGCTTCTTCGATGGACCCGAAGATGTTTCTTGTCTAGACTCCTCTAATTTAACTTTAACTTCTGCATCCCCTGTGACACTGTTCTTCCTTCTTGAAGAACCAGACTTCAAATGTTCCAGTGACGGTCGGAGCTGCACAACTTTATCAATAGGATTCAAGTGTAACTGCAAGATTAAGAAAAAAAGCAAAACCTCTTTCAATGCTTCTATATCAATGAGTCAAACCAACACTGTGTTGCAAAGTGAGATACTATAACTATAACTTTAAAAACCATTTACTCTCGCAAGAGATACTAAGAAACTACTAATTACGTTGCAACATTTGTGTGTAACCTTTAAAAAAAATCTGTTGGTATAATTGCATGTGCAAAACCACCAATATAAAGAGAACACAGAAGGACAATTTGTCTGCATTTGCGTGCGCGTATGTCTAGAGAGGGCATCCATGGTAATTATATTTAAATAATTAAAATAAATAAATCAAAGATTCAATGAAATAAATGCACAACTCTCGTCTACCAAACCAAGCAAGCCCATATATTCATGATTTCACAAGCACCCTTTTAAATGAATCACCTTGGGGCCTAGCATGATATGACACATTTGACCAACCGAAGAGTGTTGGATTTGTGCACTAACATGCTCAGTCTAATCCCAAAACAACAAAAACTCATGCTTTCTGGCCAACTTTTATCAGAACTAAGAGACAACATATGGAGGAGAAGCATTTAGCAGCCTAAAATTTACGCAAGAACCCTTTCACGAAACTTTATACAGGCCTGAAAGTGAACCTTGTCAGGGTCTGAAGACTGTGTTAAAATTCAGTAACTAAGCATATATGGGCATTCAAGTAATTATTCAAACCTAGCTACCCTTCAACAAATTAACACCATTCATACTAAACACCTAACCACTTCCAAGGTAAATATTCCAACACTACTTGTTCAACTATGCATATTTTCAAGAGCAATAAGTGTATTCTCTTCAAAAATGAAAATACTGTTTATATCATCTGAAATTTGATAGGAAAATTAACTGACCTACAAGCTCAGGAGCCTTTCACAATTTTTCTCTTTTACTTCAAAAAATCAAATTGAGTCAATTTGAGAGGATTATCGGCCACAAATTCACAACTAAAGGTCATTACTTCTTTCCTGGAATCACGGTCTCCTCAGACGATCTTAATGACAAACCAACCTTATTGAAAACATCTTTCTCTGAAACTCAGGATGGCTGGAGCAAACGCATACGCAATTGTCTAAAGAAATCTAGCTCATTTACCAATCTATAGTAATATAGTAAATTCAACCACATTAAACATAAAATCCGTGGATGATACTTCAAAAGGTCAAGAAAAGTTGCACACACCTTATCACCCATCAAAACCCCAACAGCATAGCCAGTTCCAGTTGTGCGAGTTGGCTTCCATGTTGTATACAAAGTCTGAGGAAAAATCCAAGAACACAAAACCACACTGCATTACATAACAGTGTAGGCAACAATGTCACAACATCAAAAACAGAATTAAGATATAGCTACAATCTTTATGCAAAAAAATTGACCTGCTTAGTCATTTTAAGTCTGTTACCGCAATCTTCGTCGTAATTCTTAGGGTCAAGATTAAGAGACAAATCAATCTCCATTTCTGAAGTGGCAGGCTTAAGCCTCACCTCCTCGCACCGGTTCTCCAACTCATACGGTCGCCACCATGGCCTCAGAGGATATTGCAATACATACAACTGATAAAGAAAGATCAAAAGAAGTAAAGAAAACATTTCCCCAAAAAATAAAAAATAAAAAATTGAGCAACAACGAGCTTAAGGGAGAGAGAGAGAGAGAGAGAGATTGACAGACCAGAGAGTTGTCATCGATATGAGGATTGAAGAATACGTCGATTTCACGCACAACTGCGTCTTCGACATCGTCTTCTTCCATAGGGTCGTCATCTTTTGGTTCTTCATCGGTTTCCATTTTCAACCCGCCATTTGAATCTTCGTTTTTGGGCGCGCCATCGGTTCCTTCTTCTTCTTTCTTTTCCGCAAGCAGGGCATCCAGTTCTTCTGGTTTAGGTTTCAGCCCTGGCTTTTCGGGTTCGGGCTCGGGAACCGGTTTCGGAGGCTCTTGTTTGACGACGGGTTCGGATTTCGGTTTCGGCTTGGCCTTGGAGGACCGGGGCACGAATCTGCTGGGCCGAGCAGCAACCTGGCTCGGCTTGTCGAAGTCGTCCAGGTCCATGGTTCTGTTGTTTTCTTTGCTCCGGTGAACGGTGAAAATGGAGAGCAGAGAGCTATCACTGTGAGGTTTCTTGTGCGCGGTTTTTTTGTTTGCTTAGGGGTTTTTGGGGGTGAAGTGTTTTGGGCGTGGGGTTTTTACAAGTTACAAAGGCAAAGCAAAATTATTTTTCTGTCCTCTTTTTCTTCAATTTTTTTTTATAATGGTTTCTCTATTGAGATAAATGTGGTTAAGGTTTTTTTTAAAAAAAAAATTTGGTGGTTGAAATGGCGGGCCTAAACCCTTAATTTGGATTTGATAATTCGTTCCATTGGCAAATCTCAAAAATTTAGATTTTCCTAATCTTAAATCTTTTACCTTTGGAAATTCTGATATGTTCCAAATTGCAAACATACAAATTATTATTACACAGTAATTTAATTTATTATAAAAATTGCATAGACCTTCTTCCAACGCCAATTTAAACACAATCAAAAAAATCTGCCTCCTGCAAATGGGGTTATACCGTAATGAAAAAGTATGGTTGGCCTAAGATCAATAGTTTCATGTTCGAAACCATTAGGGATATATGTGCCTCTTCAATGCTTTCATATTTGTTTTTAGCAAATAATGTTCAAATTCATTCGCGTATGACAATTTTTGTGAGTGTATGGCAGCCCAAAGGCCCAAGAATGTTCGGAACGATAGGCAAATTCATTTTGATTGGGGTGCGCCCAAGCCCAAACTCCAGTGTAATACTTGGTCCACATATCAGACATTAAACTTGCGAAGCTATTTTCCGCGTTTTTTTTTACAAGTATTTTCATGATTCTAAACCATTGAAGACAGTGTTTTAACTTCATCTTTGATCCATGCCGGATTTCAAAATCATGGACAAAAAAATTTGGTAGATATTGTGTTTTGGTAGAAAGTTTGTTGGCAACTTGGCACTGTGAAAGGATGTGTTGTTGGATCCTTGTGTTACTGAAAGGACCACTCCAAAAGTAAAGGAAACAATAAAATCATGACATATAACAAAAAATTGCTTTTTCGAGCCTTTAGCTGTCCCAATAAAGCTTCACAAAATGATACCATAAAGAAAATTTATCAAATTCATGGTATCATGAATTTGCAAATTTACAGTATTCGAGGATGATCTTATGTTATATGTGTTTGCAAGTAGTCTTATTTACCATGTCCAAATTTAGGAAGGATGTGAATTGCCAAGTCATATTTCTTCCCTTCGTTTGTTTTTTCATTGCAATCTTGTTTCAAAACTTAATCGAGCAGCTAATTTTACGTAGTTGTTAAGGAATGAAAGGTTAAAATGAGGAACTCAAGTGACATGAAATAAGTGACGCGACAGTAATCTGATTTACCGAATTTTTTTTTTTTAATCTTGAGAAAATCTGATTTAGTATTATATATATATATATACTCACAATCTAGTAACATAATACACCAAATTACTTGGCAAGAAAATTGGTGTGTAATGTGTGTTCTTTGAACACTTTACATCCCATATATCATATGATTCATATCCATGCACAAGCATGATATGGTGAGACAGTTAAATGCTAATTGGCTGGCCTAAAATGACATGTACATTTATTAGAAGTTATTCTAATTTTGTGTTGGACGTGTCGACGAAAATCCAAGACATCATAGTCTCGACTCAAATACGAATCGAGTACTATTCTAAATTTGCCTAAAATAATTATTTATAGGTTAATTAGTTTAGTCACTTTCACACTCTATATTATTGTTTGCGATAAACAATTTAAGATCTAACATGTACATAGATAGGGAACTACAATCTAACCATATAATGTAACACTAATTAATTCTTGTATTTTCATTTTATTATATGGACACAAGTACAACATCATTACTCTTTCTAGGGGTTTTTCTTTTTGGTGTGATGGGGTGGGGGTGATGGATTGAAACTGTGGCCACCGGCCACCTCTCTTGTCAGTTGTCCCTATCGCAATTGCAAAAGAGGAGAAGGAATCAATCACCTTTTGTTTTGTTTTCTTTTAAGTGAAGGCGTCAATGGAGATGGGAACCTATTAGAAAAGTTTGAGATATACATCCACCTTTCCCATCTCTCTTTCAAACCAGAAATAAATAGTGTGGGAAATTGGTATTTAATTAGTCAATGACTTGTAGTTTTCCATTATGCACAGCTGACTCGGCAAGCTACATCACGAAAGGAACAAGAGAGAGGGAAAAATAGAGAAGGGCCTCTGAAAAGCACATTCATCATGCATGGTCCATCGACATGCTTGAGAAAAAACTGATCCATTCCATGGAATATCTGTTTTACAATTTATAATCGAGAGAGCCCGTTTGAACTTTTGCAAAGCTTTTGCTCCTTTTTAATGAGGAAAAAGCCACACTTTTTCTTTCTTCTTTTGTGTGTGGGCATGCATATGCACATATATGACTTTTAAGATGCATCAATGAGCCTTGTATTAGGCTGCACAAATTGTCACGTTTGTGTCGACTTTTAATCTCAAGGCAAAGAATTGTGTGCTATCTCATGTATTAGCAAAAGAAAAATCATACACGGCAGTCTTTGAATTGACAAATATACGTTTTAGATTAAAACTTGAATAACTAATGCCCAAAAAATTAAGATCTCATGCCTTCAATTTAATATAAAGTTAAAGCCTATATGTATATATTTACAGTCTATTTTCCATTGATGGATTTACTACCCAAAGAAAAAAATGTCAATCCAAACTCTGTATTTTTCAAGTCTTTATACATAGATCATCCTTGCAAAAAAGAAAAAAGAAAAAAAGAAAATCATTAAGACATCTAATTGTAAGCAACGAAATAGATGAACATGGTGCTTAAAGAAAGTACTAAAATAACAATCATCTAATTGAGTGGTCAAATGGTTTCAGATTCAAGTGATTTTTTGCATATACGATCTTTGAGGGAATATATCAAACAGTTCGGATTATTGAAAAACAATGTATGGTGGACCCTGTAAGGATGTCCCTCAATTGAAGCTCTTTGCGTATATGTATATATCAATGTTAATTATACTTTTATCATGAAGTAGGTCCCAACTTTCATCGTTTACATATTAAACAAAGTGCATACGTACTATTTTGATCTCAATTATATGTGGATTTCAGATATTTTGTAGTAACATAATAATTATTTGATGTTATCAATATCGTGAAAACATTCATTGCAGCATGGCCAATAGATTGATTATTTACCTGCAAATCCTGTCCCGAAACTCAGATTTGCACCAATATATCAGAGGATGGACCCTAACAAAATTTAATAGCAACTGTGTTTCAAGGTAGCAAATGTCACCAAGTTGAGGGACAGAAGCAACATGTGGACAAAAGCAAAAGCACCAGTAGGGTCGTTCGTTCATGTCATGATCAGAATTTAAAATCGTCTCATGGCTCACAAGAGTTTTGTTTAAGCTTATCCTGTATTTTGGTAGTTAACATCGTTTTAAATCTTCATGATGTAATTAGTTTTTGACCTAAACATAATCCAAACTCGAAATCAACGTCGTCTTATTCATAAACGACAGTATTAGCATAAAAATATAGACAGATGATGAGTCTCATGCTTGCGGTGGTGAGTTTTTAAATTTGGAAGTTGCTAATTTGACTACGCCTGTCTATTTTCAATTTCTTGCCTAATAATTAAAATCTTAATCTTATTTTGATCTCAAATTGAGAATGTGATTGGTCATTGCCGTCTCTAAACTGGGTGGAAATCCATCCAAAGGGCCCCACACAATGCCTAATTAAAAAAAGAAATGCATTCCAAGTCAATGCAAGTGAAGTGGACGATAGGAGTCTGCATAGAAAACTTGCCGGCCTTTTGGTTTGTATTTATTTCTTGGCTCAGCCTAATTGTCTTTTGCTTATGTTAAACAGAATTTGAAACCTGAAATAATACTACTTTATATAGTATTTTTTTCCCCACGTACTACATGTTTCAAAAGCATGTAATTGTACGTAAATAAAAGGGATCAATTTTGTCAAAGCCACATGCGTGCACGTTAAGCGTACAAATGCTTTTCTGATTGGGTTTTAGCTGGCTCGCTCTAAAGATGACAATTTTTTCAACAACAAATTAGGAAATATTGCTGCATGGTTCTTTGTGACATTTTATCAAACACTTTTTAGTCACCCTC